CGGACTATTTTGTATCACAGAGAAAAACCAACCCTTCCTGTTGGGGTCTGCTCTTTTCAGTGTGTTGTTTCCTAACTTTTAAGGAGGAAATCGTGTGTTCTGCTTGTCATATTGTTGGTGAGGTCTCTGAGAAAGTACCTGTGGTCAGAGCAAGCGTTCTTGTGGTTAATACTAGCCCTGATTCTCCTTGATTCCCAGTTGCTTACAGGTAGTTGTTCAAAGTGGGTCTTACATCTGCTGGTGTTTATATATAGAGCTTTACAGGGCCACGTGGTAGACTTGCAGATTATAGCCTATAAATATTGTAGCCTAGAAATAATCTGTTTTGTTGTAATAACCTACCTTTGACTTCAAAATACACACTTGGTGGGAATGATGCTGTGTAGATCTATGGGGCCTGACTGTCATTTCCAGACTTTAAAACAAGAGAAGTCGTGATATGCCTCAACCTGTGTGACAGCCTGAGCTTCTAATGCTGATGAAAGGTGTGGGGATTGACTGGCCAGCCACCTGTACTATGCATGACCCACATTACATGCCAGGAAGATGCCTTATAGTTTGAGACTACCAAAGGCCCGTTCTGTTGGCAGTTCCAGACATTTGGAAGCTGTAACTCAGAAGGAAAGGTTGATGTTACATTATGCAGAGAGCTGACAGTTCACGTAGCTTCCTAGGCATGAGAGCGAGCTTGAATGATGGCACTGCTAAGGCTCTGTAGATTTTGACTTGGACACACCTCAACGGAATAACTAGATCAAAACTGCTCACACCATAAGCTTCACTGGAAGTTAATTAGTAGGAAGGAAAGGAGGAAGGGCAGGCACTGCTTTGAAGACTGAGTTGTGCAGAGGAACACCATGATAACCCTGAAGGGTGTTTGGACTAAGACAACCCAGTTTCTTGGTGTTCAGTGGAAAATGTGGTAAGAGGCTGGTGTTGCAGAACTGATGTTACCTCTCCAAGGCGTGCAGAGCTGGGACTCTGGTTGGCTTTTGTTGACCCTGTGGGAGCTCAGTCCTCATCAAGCTGCTGCTAGTGGCTTTCAAAAGAGGTATCTGATATTGCTGCTGACCTTTCTGGATCGTAGAATCATAGAATAGTTAGGGTTGGAAAGGACCTTAAGATCAGCTAGTTCCAACCCCCCTGCCATGGGCAGGGACACCTCACACTAAACCATCTCACCCAAGGCTCTGCCCAACCTGGTCTTGAACACTGCCAGGGATGGAGCATTCACAACCTCCCTGGGCAACCCATTCCAGTGTCTCACCACCCTAACAGGAAAGAATTTTCCCCTTATATCCAATCCTAAACTTCCCCTGTTTAAGTTTGAACCTGTTACCCCTTGTCCTATCACTGCAGTCCCTAATGAAGAGTCCCTCCCCAGCATCCCTATAGGCCCCCTTCAGATCCTGGAAGGCTGCTATGAGGATGCCTATTCTTTAGACACCTTCTGATGTTACCCAAGGAAGGAATTCCAGTCCCTCCAAAGAACAAGCTGCATCTCAGTCCAGAAAAGGTTACCCTAAAGCAGCAGATGTACTGAGTTAGATCCTGATCTCCGTTTGCAGGAGTAGGCAAGACATAAGCAGTGTGTGACAAGGGCTTTGTAGCCTCATAAATGCTTCCATGAGAAACTGCATTTCACCTTCTTGAGGTAAAGCCCTTGTCTTCAGCTGGCTTTCCATGGTCATGCTTGGTCTCCAGCCTGAATGAGAAAACCAGCCTACTGCATGACCCTGGGGAGGCTGCAGAGTGCTCTGTGAGGATCTAGATGTGCGGGTGTGCATGCATGTGTCTTCAATCATAAATGCATTTACTGTAGGCAAAAAACGACAACATTGTTTGCAGTTATGGCATCCTTATGCTTCCTGCTAAAGCTCTATTTCCTCACTTCTGGCTTAACTGAAATTTCTCCTTTGGCTGCAGTTTTCCCTTGTTGCTGCTGTTTTCCATTGTTTTTTTGCTTGCCTCGGGCTTAGCTTGTTTCTGAGAAGCTGCAGTACAAAAGGTCTTGCTGTTTTTCACTAGGCTTAGGAGGAAACTGATGCTTTGTCTTAAGTCTTTGACTGAAATAACTGATTATTTTAACACTTCCATGTTCTGAAAGGCAGTTGAAAATTTGGTTGGAAGATCAACCCAGAGCAAACGGTATGTTTTTTGCCTTAAAGGAGCCAAGTCATTCTGTCAAGTTATGGGTCTAAAAATCCTTATCCACACCCTTGTGGGAGAGGCAAGGATAGAGGCTGGCAGATGCAGCTTTTAGAAATGGGGTTTTCCCTAAGAGGAAGGGGATGGGGCAGTTGTGTGGAATAATGAGAATTGAGAGAGGTGAGCAGATGCACAGGCAAGGATGGGGGATACAGGAAAAAGGGTGAACGAGGCTTGTATGGTAACGTCTACACAAGAGACCCAACTGGAAGGACTGCTGTCTAGAATCTGCCACAATAGACAGAAAACTTCAACCTCTGCATTTCAGTATGGCCAGAAGCTGCATAATTCGCTGCCAGGGTTGTTCCCTGGTCCACAGGAAGCGAATTGCTTTCAACTTGTATTAGCTGTGCCAGGACCTCCTGTGGTTAAGACCTGCCTCATGTGGAGGCTCGTGACAGAAATGCTAGCATATTATGTGATAATGGCAATATATGGCTGAAGATGCCAGGAAAACAGCATATGAACGGTTAAAGGAGAGGCATGTGTCAGTGACTGCAGAACCACCACATGTTTTACACAAATACTCAGAGGACAAAGAACAAACTGCAGCTGTAGAGGTAAGGTATCAAGATGATGACCAACACTGTTGAGGCTGTGAAATACCCAGACAGGGCAAGTAAAAGACTCGGTTTTGCCTGAAACTCTTTGATGGGTGAGGCCAGACAGTGAGGTACAACACTGATTGTAGTATCCACTGCTAAAGGGTGTAAAAGATGTGTTCAGATGTAGAGGAGCCCAGAAGATGCAGTGAGGCTGTGATGGTCTTCCTCCACGTGCTTTCTGCTGCACCGAGACGGATGCATATGGCTGTTTGCCTGTGTGTATGTTGATGAAGAGTGGGAATGGGATAGAATCAACTTATAGAATCACAGAATAGTTAGGGTTGGAAAGGACCTGAAGATCATCTAGTTCCAAACCCCCCTGCCATGGGCAGGGACACCTCACACTAAACCATGTCACCCAAGGCTCTGTCCAACCTGGCCTTGAGCACTGCGAGGGATGGAGCATTCACAACCTCCCTGGGCAACCCATTCCAGTGCCTCACCACCCTAACAGGAAAGAACTTCTTCCTTATATCCAATCTAAACTTCCCCTGTTTAAGTTTTAACCCGTTACCCCTTGTCCTATCGCTACAGTTCCTAATGAAGAGTCCCTCCCCAGCATCCCTATAGGCCCCCTTCAGATACTGGAAGGCTGCTATGAGGTCTCCAGGCAGCCTTCTCTTCTCCAGGCTGAACAGCCCCAACTTCCTCATCCTGTCTTCATACGGGAGGTGCTCCAGTCCCCTGATCATCCTTGTGGCCCTTCTCTGGACTTGTTGCAACAGTTCCATGTCCTTTTTATGTTGAGGACACCAGAACTGCACACAATACTCCAAGTGAGGTCTCACAAGAGCAGAGTAGAGGGGCAGGATCACCTCCTTCGACCTGCTGGTCACGCTCCTTTGGATGCAGCTCAGGATACGGTTGGCTTTCTGGGCTGCGAGTGCACACTGAAGCTGGCTCTTGTTCATTTTCTCATCAACCAACACCCCCAAGTCCTTCTCCACAGGGCTGCTCTGAATCTCTTCTCTGCCCAACCTGTAGCTGTGCCTGGGATTGCTCCCACCCAGGTGTAGGACCTTGCACTTGGCATGGTTAAACCTCATGAGGTTGGCATCAGCCCACCTCACAAGCGTGTCGAGGTCCCTCTGGATGGCATTCCTTCCCTCCAGCGTATCAACCGAACCACACAGCTTGGTGTATTCTTTGTGGATCCACACAGCCTCATTGGATTCTTTTCAGTAAAAATCGCCTTCCTTATCTGTAAGGCCTTGCGATGAGCTTTGTTCCACTCATTTTCCACAATGATGGAACTAAATGTTCTAGTTCTGCCAATGATTCATGTAGGAGGTGATATATATCCATGTGATGGTATTTTATATATCCTACAGTTGCCTTTAAAAAAAACCCTAAATAATTAGATTGCAAAATTGTTCTGTTAAAGGAGTATTCATACTAAAGCCAGGTATTCAACTGCTGTGAACTGGTCTGTTTAAGCTTCGCGCTTTCCTCTTGTAGGAAAGTCACTGCAATCAAAATGTTTGCTGTGTTTCTCATTTTCTAAAAGCCGGGCTTCAGATGCACATTGCCCGTGTGAGAGGTGCATTGGATGCTGTCCATTGGAGGTGACACTTCTTCATTTAAGCATATAAAGTGCCACAAAAATGCTATAAAGGAAATCAGGCCATCCAGGTTATGAAGCAGGCTTTCTGCATGAAAGGTTCTTGCTGACCTGAATGCTGCAGCTATAAAATAAAGGCAGCTCTCTGCTTTCATGGAAATCAGAGAAACTTGTGCCCTGACTGCAATCCAGGTGCCTTTTCTCCCTTGCTGTCTGTCTCTATTCCTGGTCATGCTGGGTGACCGTGTGGACTGTGAAGTAGCCCCACTGACTGCTTATGGACATCTGCTGTGCTGCTGTCAGTGCAAGGGGCTTGTTTCCCCCGTGCCTTTTCTCTTTCTGATGGAGTTGTCAATGCTTGTGAAGCATTCGGGGTGACAGTGGTGAGGGCAGAGAGAAGCTGCCCAGGAGGCTAATATGTGTGTATCCTTAAAGTCAATAAGGATACAGAAGTGATGCTGGTCAAACAAGGTATTGAGTGGATGCGGTTGGTTGTGTGTCACTCCTTCAGTGTCAGAGGAGGACATGGGGCAGTTCTGTGAGCAACAGCAGTGACGCGATTGAATAAACTAAAGTTTCCAAAACGAAGATTATCCAGCCATATAAATGTGTCCTTGCTCATCCCTGCTTAATGATGTTCTTGTCATCTCTTCACAGTCATCCTGTTCAAAGGGGTGGGTTGCACAGGAGAGCTTCTGGTTTCTCATAGCTGGGTGCTGCCTGCTCCTGGTCTGATGCTGTGGATGCTGCCTGCCAGACACTGCTGCAGACTTCTGGGCTGCCCTTGAAGGCAACTTACCAATGGTTAACCAGTAAGTGAGAACATCTGGGGAGTATTTTCAGTCTGCCTCATTATGCTTAGCTTAAAGACAGAAGAGCTTTGTCTTTTTCCTTTCTCTCAAGAGTGGGGTAGGGGTTAGTTTTGAGTTACTTAAATGTAATTTCAGCAATGTCCTTACTCTAGAGTTCAATGTAAAGATTTGGAGATCAGTCAGTGAGTTTCAGCACGGCAGGTGCCTGAAAGTCTGGTTGAGAATAAGTGGGTAGTGGATTCCTATTGCCTTTCTTGCTCCCTCAAGCCTAGGGTGTTTTCCCGGCTGCCAAAGGGTGGGCCTGTTCTGTTCTCCAACAATAAAAAGCAGATGATTTTCCTTCTTAAAATGCACAAAGGGGATTGCTAGCACAGATCCTCTCCACTGCATGTCCATCCTAGTGCACCCGGGCAAATCCCATCCCTTCTAGCAGCGAGGAAAAGCTAATCCTTGGCACTGAAGGCACTCGGATTAACCCACTGCAGGATTAGGATGCTTGAGCTATTGTTAGCAGATTAGTATATTTGGTTGTCAACATTTGCTGAACCTGACCTGAAAACAATTTCCAATGGGTTTACTGACTCCTGGGTGCCTGTTTCCCATCAGGAAAGGCTGGAGTTGAAGCAAGCAGCTATAAAGATTAAACTGGAGCTCCAGGGGCAGGGGATGCTTTTTGGATTTAAACCCATCAGTGCTGGTCATGGGAACAAAAGGCTCTGTTGGTCTGGAGCTGCTGAGCTCCTGGCTTGCTGTGGGACAGGGCAAGGAGATTCTGACTTGCCCCAGGAATCCTTGCTGGTGACTGTATCTGGACAAGGAGTTGTACAGGTTGTATCTTACATCTGCATTTGGGACTCACTTCAGGTCAGCTCTTCCCTGCCTGTGCACATCCTTTGATGTCGAGAGCTTCTCCTTTTCATAGGCTGCTGTATTTTGAGTTGCTTGGCTGGAAGCTAATATAACCATACCCTGGCCCTGGTTTTGTTCAACTGTTTCTGCTGTCTCCTGTTAAGAGAGAAATACCTCTGACCTGGATGACAGTAAAGTGTCCCCTGGTGAGGAAAAGTGGCTTTTCTAGTGCTTTGCATCCTGGAGTTTGCTGCTAGTGACAGTGTGTGCCATGAACAGGGTGAGCTGGCCACAGGTGGACTTGTCTCGGTGCCTGCACAGTGCAAAATGACTCAAAATAAAGAACAGGGCCTCCACAGTGGTCACTTCAGGTAGAAAGTGATTGTCTTCAGCTTTCTGTGCTGGGCTCGAGCTGTCTCTGCTCATAATGTCTTATTTCAGCTGCTACAAGGAGAGATCATGGTTTTCTTTTTCTCTTTAAAAAAGATCTTCCTCTTGTCAGGGCTTTAATTCCAGTATGAAGTCTGCCTGTGCTAGCTCAGCACCTTGTAAGTGCTCGCACTGCTTTCTAGTGCACAGGTGAGTGACAGTGGAGCTGTGGTCCCATTGCAACCAGTCCTGCTATTGCGTGTGAACTGGTGTCTGAGGTGCCCTGGTGCTGGTGGAGCACATCACGGTGCTGCAGGGAGCGTGCGTGGGGAGGGATGGGCATGGTAGATCTCCTTTCCCCCTTGAAAAGCAACTTTTTTCCTCTTTTCCTTTAGTAAATTGCAAACGGAGGCTCTGAAGATGGACCCTTTAAAAGTTTTTGGTAGTACAGGAAGAGAGTCTGTAAATTCCTTTGCTTATCAGTGGAAAACTGCTTTGATGGTTGCTAGCTGTAAACTGTTTTCCTCTATCATGGATCAATACAAACTTACTTTTAAACCAAAGCAGCTTGTCTTGAAGTACTGAACACTGGATGTATTGTGGGATCGTGATTTCATTCAGCCTTGTTGCTGAGTATCTTGATTTCAAAACGCATCCTTTCATGAATGTGAATTATATTATGCTTCCCTTTGTACATATAAACATTGAGGCTGAAATGTATATAACTGCATCCGTCACTCATCTAATAATACAATTTTTCTTCCTCAACAGGCCAGCAAGGATTTTCAACTGAAATCCCTGTGGAAGATATAAGTCTAAAAGTTGTTTCAGTGAAGACGCACTAGAAAGGTAGGGCCTTTCCATGAATGCTTGCTTTCGAGTTGGACACTGTTATCTTAGAGCTGTAGCTGCACCAAGCATCCCACATCTGGCAACACTGTGCAGCCTAGCGAAGCAAGAGCTGTTCAGTTTTAACACATTTATAAGCACTAAGTACATTCCACTGTACTCCACTAACATACTTTAGGGGATTTCTGTAAAGCTGCATGGTAAAATAACTGAATATTTCATCAAAGGCCCATGTCACAGTTTATTCTCAGAAAATAGCTTTGAAACCCAGAATGAGAGCCTAAAGCTTCTGCCTGGCTTCCTGTGGAAACAGGACAAGGGCAATGCTCTGGTGGCATTGGTTCCACTTGTCTCTGCCACAAAACAGATGCATTATGAAATGACCAGCAAGAACATGGGACAGAAAAATGTGTTGGTTCTCCCACTTGGCCAATGTTTCCTGCACAAAACTTGCCTTGGATATAAATCAGTGTGGACCTAGCTGATCAGCTGTGCCTAACAGGCATGTATGAGATAAACTTGTCTGCATCAAGTGAAGAGCTTCAGGCCACCTATTCACTGGATGAAAATGCAGTATCTAACATGCTGAGGTCATTTAGACTATCTGATGAGTAAAAACAGATATATATATATATATATATATGTGTGTGTGTGTATATATATATATATGTGTGTATATATATATGGATACCAGCTATTGGGAAGAAAATTAACGCTATTCAGCTGAAACCAGGACCTATATGCATACTATATACAGTAGTCTATAAATAAGGCATGGACCAGTGTGGAAAAAGTGCACTGTAGGTTTTAATATACTAGGAAGAGGGTTCTACTTGTATTTCAGCCCATACTTGCTGTAACAGTGCTTATAAACTGTAAACTTGAAACTCAAGGGCCATTTCTAGGGAAGAGGAGTGACCATGTATGTAGCTGGTGGGATACACAAAGTGAAAACAGGAAAGGTTCCTTCACCACACTGAGTTCAGGCCTTAGTTTTCTTCAAGGAACAGGTGATGCATGAGCAGTTTGTGATCAGTGTGAAGAGCATAATATCTGGCCGATATGAAATAATCATACTTAAGGCATTGCTTTCCTCATCAGAATACCTTCAAAGGGAGGACTGCAGACCTACACTGATAAGGGGCAACGGCTGTGTTGGCTGGATACCCTGCCCTTCTCTGCAGTTGGCAAATCCATGTTCAACTAAGCTTTGTGTTCCTGTTCCAAAGGCCAAGGAAGCTCCAGAAGGGTTTGTTCCCAGCCCCATGATGTTGCTTCTAATGCTTGAAGATAGGTGCTAGTTTATTCACTGCCTTTATATTTGATGTGCAGAAGTCCCCAGCAAGACTGCTTGGTAGGCACTGTAGTTGCACAGGATAAGGAACACCTTGATGATGAAGCATGTTTTTGATTGGCCATAATCATTTAAATTTGAGGGGAAACAAGCAGAAACATAAAATGAATGGAGTGGATGTGGTGAGGCTGCAGTCCTGTAGCAGGTAGAGATGCAGGGAGAGACTGATCAGCTAGTGTGGCTTGCTCTGTTCTTGTGGGACTGGCTTGTAATGGGGGGTAGGTGCCTTTTCTGTATCTGTGAACAAAAACTTTACTTGTACAAAGTGCTTGAAAACAATATCTTAAAATAAATCTTGGAAAAGCCCATGAAGTACTTCAGGTTTGGGGTTATCTTCTTGCCTGCCTTTTCCTTCTGGCTCTGACATGAGGAAGATTCTCCCTGTGGTTTCTAGAGTCCTTCAGATGTAGTAATTCCTGAAAGTCCAGCTTTAAGGCCAGGTTCAGGGATTTTCAACAGTATGTGTTGTCCTGCAAGGAATAGATATGAACTATAAAAATACAAGATAGCTATACATGTGCTTGCTATGCAAGAGAAGTTACTCATAGCTATGATGTTTAGCACTATAAAGTGTCCCCAAGTGCCCAGTCCTGAGAGAAGCTTAGCTTTTAGCTCCATCTGTGGCTATAGGAAGATCTGTAGCTGCTCACAGGACCCATTCCTTGCTGTCTGTTAACTCTCCAGCTTCCCCAAACGCCAAACCCAGGCTGTTCTTGCGGCTATCCCTCTGCGTGTCCCCATTCCCACACAGGAATGCTGCCCTAGCTATCAGCTCGAGATGCAGTACTTTGCAGTGGAGCGCTGAGCTTCCCTCCTTGTGGTAGAGATGGGGAAAGACGAAGCAGGCGGAAGCCGGAGAGCACACACTCTTTATCTTGTGTTGCCAGCAAGTTGGGAGCGTGCCTTGCTCTGCCTGTTACAAAAGGCCCTAGTTAAGTAAGCACTTATGTAAGATAAAAGTGATTGTTTTGGGGAGGCTTCAGCCAACTGGAGGCTGCAGCTCGGGCAGGAAGTGTCTGACTGCTGTGGTTTCACATTGATGCGTGATTATCGGTCTGCTGCGAGCTGTCTAAAATCTCTCTGAGCAGCAGAGATTCCTCGGCACTGGTGGTAGCTGAGTTACAGCTGTGAGACGCCGCCAACAAGCCTGTGTGGATCCTTGTGAGTAGTATTCCTGATTCTTCTAAAGGGTGTTTGTGAGTGATAACTGCAGGCAGGGAAATACTGCAGATGTGTACTGCTGGCGATAAATAGAGGGAGGCAGGAGGTGGCAGACAGTAGTGAAACTATCGATTGGTTTTAAAATAGGACTCTCCTCCTGGGCTTCTGTAAGCAAGCATGGGCTTCTGTGAAGCTGTGTAATCAAGTCTCTTCCAAATATGCTGGGAAAAGAGAAATGTGGTGCTGAATTCAATTACAGCACTGTCGGGAGAACACAGATTTAGCCTGACAGTGAAATCAAAGGACCATCTATTCCCATGTGCTGTTTTGGAGTGGCCATAAGTCAATGTTCCAGGAAAGAATACAAGAACAGGACAAGCGTGCAGTGATATTTCCAATTCTATGTTTTCCTTGCCTTCTGGAATCTGCAGGTCAGTTATTTCCTGAGACAGAAGTGGTATCTTTAACAGTGCAAGTGGATTTTCCTTTTCAGAGCTTGCTGTGTATCCACTGACGACTGCGTTTTGGGGTTTGACATCTTGAGTTAAATGAGTTCTTCCACATAGGATTTTAAATTTTAAAGACAGGTTTCTGTTTTGATGGACCTGGAAAGGGAAAAGCTTGCAGGGATTTACAGAAAGCAGAATTTCCCCTCCCACTTCCTTGTGATGTGTCTGGATGCAGCTCAGCCCATGAACAAAGCCCAGGACTATAAAAGCATCTGTTGAAGTGGGGACTGGAGTTTATTAGTTCAACGCTGAGCAGCTTGGAACAACTCAGTTATTCCTGCCATTCCAGTTACTATCTGATGCCTGGAAGGCACTGAAGTGCCATTGTATAGAGAAGGCCATTCAAGTACTGAACTGTGAGAGGGAAATAAAGCTGTTGCCTATAGTGTGGATGCATGTAGGCTTACTCTTGCAGGTGGCATACAACTTTTCCTTGATAGAACAAATGCTGGACTAATGGAGATCACTTGGGAGAGCTCAAGTCACTATGTATAAACCTTGAAAAACTGTAGTGTGTAGTTTGTATAACCTATAAAGTTCTTTAAATAAATAGTAAACCTATAAAGCCTTTAAATCTTACTTGCAGCCAGTAGAAATGGAGGTCGTACCATCATGAGAAGTTATTTTGTAGGCGCTGTAGGATTAGAGGTAAATGTGAAAAGCTACATTGAGCCCAAAGGGACCTGCCTGCAAAGCCAAGCCTAAGGTTTTCATATTTCTTCCTAAAGTGGGCAAAACTGATAGGCTGTTTTCTTCACTAAAACTGCAACAGCTGTGTAAGATAAGATGGGATGACACTTACACTTGCTAATTATTTAGGTCTTAAACCCTGTGCAATACATCCATAGCCAAACCCAAGCTCTCTCTTGCACTATGCCAGTAAGGGATGGGTGGTGGCAGAGCAGGCTGCTCTGCAGCCTAGCCAGGTCTCCCTGCTTCTGTGGGTCAGTGTTGTCCAGAACCCAGCAGCCTTCCTAGGTATTTGTAGTGTTTGCTCCCCATCCGAAAGTCATGGGGGAGCCATTGCAGTCCTAGGGGCTGGTGAAGGTTGTTAACAGAAAATCTCAGACATGGAGACCGGTTTTTCCAGATCCATGAAGTGATCCAATGAGCTGGGGAGAGTTTGCAGACTTAAACCTCGCCGAGACACTATTAAAGATGCTACCACTAGAAATCCTTGAGTTATTGGAAGAGGATTCTGGGGAGGTATCGGTGGTTTGCCCTGCTTTGGGGCAGTTTTCTGGGCTGCTGACACTGTCAAGAGGATGCTGGTTCAAAGGCAGATGCTCCTAGCCCATGCAAGGCCTTTTTGGTTCTTATGAAAACACCACAAGTAAGTCAGCAGTAAAAACTGGGGAACTTACAATGCAATTTCGAAAACAGTCTCTGGGACATGGAACAAACCCAGCCATGCATCAGGATAGCCAAAAAATACCTCTAATTTGTTGCAGGATAAAATGGATGCCATGCACAAGCTGAAGATTCTGGTGATGCTTCTGGCTCTGGCTGTTTTTGTGGCTGTAGTGACACTGAATGCTGGAGATGCCACTGGGACGTTCAAAGGTAATGCAAACAAACTGGCTTTGTTTAGAGGTGGATTTCATGCATTACATCATTTGATGATTTACGGTGCCTTAGGTGGGTTAGATCTGTTTCTAACCACACTGCTTCTCCAAACACACCTTTATCTTTGAAAGCTGGAAGCAGCTGGTGCATCCTCCAGGAATTACAGCCAGGGGACTGAAATCCAGTCCTTGAAATCCAAGTAAATGGTCTTGTCCTGGGTGAACCTGGGTCTAGTGGCAGGTGAAAGGCAGACTTTGCATACAGTGCCCTTCCATCCTGGTGAAAGCTGCTGTATGTTTATTGAGGGCAGTGGCGCCTGGTTTGAACGCTTCCCAGCTGAAACTGTCAGAAATGGGCATTGTGCTTCTCTCTGGCTTCTGCATGCAACTGGCTTTTCTGGTTCTGTGTAAGAGGGAAGGTGCTGAGGGATCCCCGTCGGGACAGTGATTCTGTAACGGGTGTCTAAAGCAGAGCCAACTGCAGCACATGGCTTGTTTTCACCTCAGGCATCCTTTCATCTCCCTCAGATCCACTGAGGTGTGGCCTAAGCCTTGAGGAAGATTACAGGATGAGGGAATTCAGGGGTCTTTCCCCATCCTTGGTATGTAATAACACTTTTACCTGCAATAACGTTCACCACCACAGGTCTGTTCAGGTCAACCCCTGGAAACATCTCGGCCAAGTACAACACTGACTTCACACCAGCTGGCTGGACTTTCCTCATCTGGAATGTCATCTATGCCTGGCAGCTTGCCTGGCTTCTCTACGCCTTGTCGGGGATCTGTCGAAGGTATTTGCCCTGCTTATGGTACACATAAGAGATAATGGTGTTTCCCTTCTGTAGTTCAGTCTCTTACTCCCTTTTCTGGGCCTCCTAATCAGAGTAAAACCGCTGTCATTCCCCTTGACATGCTGAAGTTCAGCATCTTTTAGGTTCAGCATCAAAGCTGAGAAGCAGTTTGGAGGCGTACATGAACTGTTGTAATGTGCAGACATGTTACAGAGCGTGAGGCCTGGTTTCCACTGATTCATGTGATCTGTTATCCGTAGTATTTACCCACTGCTAGAGGCTGAGAATCCATAGGGGCAAAAATTAATGAGTTATGGAGCTAATGCTTTGAGTTTACTTGCTGTTAGAGATCAGAGATTTGGCATTGGGAAGTTTTGGGGCTGTAAGATCAATAACTGCCTCATGTACTACCATGTAGTATCTGTAGTATTGTGATGTCTTCTGTGGAATACACTTACATTGCAGCTCTTCTGTCAAGGGGGACCATGGACTGCTTAGTTTAAGTATCTGCTGTTTTCACATGACTTGTAATAATTTCTCAGTTGGCAATACTGAAGGTTGAGAGAAGAATGATGTATGTGTTTGTACAAAAGTGATCAAGTCCATATACATGTATGTGTGCACACATAAAATGTGTACATACATATGCGCTCACACTATGATCCCATAAACCTTTTCTCCCTGGGAACTGGGCTGAAATCCTATGATCACACCATTGCTACCACCACCAGTGTCACAAGCTTTGCATCATCTGTGGAGCAGTCCTTAGTTATGTGCAGAGACCAGCAAGTTCTGTATTGTGGGACAACGTTCTGATGGGGAAAGTCACAAGGACTGTGTGTCTGAGAAGGATGCAGAGGGGAAATAGTCTGATTTAGGCTGAAATACTTAACTCCAGTGTAGAGTCCCTGTTAGTATGAGGAAAATGAGGGCAGGAAATCTTGGTTGGTCAATGCAGAAGAAAAATGCCTTTCTCCATAACCACTTTTCCTGGCAGGAATGAATTTGGATGTGCCTGCATAAAGCCGGACTTGCTGCCAATATCTTTTTACACAGTGTGGATACTCAACAATGGCCTCAATATTTCATGGCTGTTTCTGTGGGACCGAGAGTAAGTTGCTTTTTGTTACAAATGCTTTCTAAACCTCTTGTTGGTACTGTCCGAATACTCTCTTTTGCCCTTCCCTTCTGTGTGAACACGTAATCAGACCTGCAAAACTTCAAGGCAGGCCTTAGCTAAAGGTAGCCTTTGTAAAAGTTTGGCACAGTATTATCTTGCCCATAAGGTGGATTGGTTATTGAAGTCTAAGATCCCCTAAAGTTGCTGCTGTTCCATGTTCTTTTTCCTCCACAGGTAAGACAGGAGCTGTGCCTCTCTTCATAAATACAGTTAAGCTCCTTGTCTTGGTTTGTTTTCATAATCATGGTCACATGAAGGGCTTATAATAACACCACTGTCAAGAGATGAAGAAATCAGTTGCAGCCAGGAAAATAATAACTTTGTGATGAGCAGAGTAGAGCAGCAATATGTTAAAATGAAGGCTCCATGGAGTGATTACCTTTATTAAAGGCTGATTAACTTAAAGCCAGCAAACACTAAAGCTATGAATTAAGGCATTAAGGCACCACTGAAAAAATGTATGCTCTGTGTGTGTGTTCTTTGTCCTAGATGCCTCCTCCCAGCCCTGGTGCTCCTGGTAGCTCTCACTCTTACTACGTTTGTCTGCCTCATCATTTCACACCGAGCCTTGAATGCCCATTCCTCGTGGCTTGTGAAGGGCCACAAAGCTGAGCTCTGGCTCATCCGCATCCTAGTAGGTGACATTTGGCAAAAGGTTGTTGGTAAATGCTAAAAGCTCTGTGCAGTGCTGCAGGTACCAAGAGAGGCTTAATGGCAGGAGATGGGTAAGGAAAGGCTTTTGCGCTGACTTCACCTTGTGCTTGTTGCAGGTGTGCACAAGCTTAATTGCATCTTTCTTATTGGGCATAATCTTGATTTTTGGTCTTAAAGGTCTTTTCTAACCTAGTTGATTCTATGATTCTATCATTCTATGATAATGGGAAAGATTCAGAGCAATACATCCCTTGCACTTCTCCAGCTGCTACAGAATTAAGTTTCCTGTGAAGCGTGAAGACTTCAGCGCAGACCTGTGTTTGGTATGGGAAGAACATTTCTTGCAGAGGGAAAAGCCATTGCTAAGGGTGGCTTCTGTTGCTGTAGTTGATGATGTCCCTTGTATGTGATTGCAAGAAGCTATCTATTTCTTGTACACTGCTCAAGGTTTCAAGTGCATCTGCCTTTAATTTTGCCAAATTCTGGAAGGAAATGATGATTCTGCTGTCCTTGAGAAGAGTGGGTGTTTGTTTGGCAAACTGCACAGAGAACACAAACATACTCTTCACCACTCCTTTGTTCCTCCCCTGTTCCTCTCTCCTAGCTCAAACCTACCACCCTGACCCCTTCCTCCCCACCCAGGACACCTCGCTCTGCAGTTCCTTCCATGCCTGTGTGTGCTTTAACCTCGCTCTGCAGTTCCTTCCATGCCTGTGTGTGCTTTAACCACCTTTGATTCCTTTGCTTGATGTTGACATTGTTCAGTGACAGAACTTAACATGCTCATCCAAGGAGCTAGGAGGGTTTTTGGTGAAGGGGGAGTCTGCAAAGCTGGGAGGGTTTGGATAGAAAAGTTCTTACCAACCCTGCTGGAAATGTGTCTGCATCTCTTGGTACAAACTGGGAGCAGGCTGTTCTTTATGCTATTGTACTGCACTGTAACACAGGAAATGGGAATAGCTGGGTTCCCCATCCTTGCTCAGGGGTGATTCCAGCCCTTGATAGTACCTGCTTCAGGCTCCATGTAGCAAAGATATTTGCTGGGAGGTTGCTAAGATCCAGAAAGCTTTCTCTCCACCAGTTACAGCAGCCTGCAACAACTGGGCTGCGCAGCCAGGCGGACTGTATGCTTTGGGGTGTGGATGGGAAGTCCATGATGGGATTACAGGGCTTTATATGTGGAATCCTGCAGCTGCAGCTGGGGTGGATTTCTGGGGTACTTTGAGCAACCCAAGGCTTTAACCCTTCTCAGTGTTGAGGGGCTTTCCCTGCAGCTGGGTCCAGAAGGCTGGTTTAATTGCCAAAGTACCTATGGATCACCAAAGACAATTGGGAATCGCCTTTTTTTATCACTGGTTGTCATCTTGCTGTGCCATTTGGTAGGTCCAGAATGGGCTGGCGCTGTATGCAACATGGACCAGCATTGCCACCCTGCTGAACTTTGCTGTTGTGCTGATCTACAAGTGGAATGTGGCCAATGAGACAGCAACGACTGCTTGTCTCAGCATCCTTGGTCTCAGCCTATTAATATGGTAAGCATCCTCATGGGTTCCCACCAAACCCTTCCAACCTCTCACAAATGGCCTGGACTATCTGTGCCAATTCACTCACAGTCTGTCCGTGTACCAGCACACAGTACAATGGCTTCTTATAATTCATGGCAGATGAGCAAGGACCCTGTGCTTAGCTCTTCTTCCATGACCCTCAGCAATGCCAATAAGCACATGCTGTGGGCCAGGAATAGATTGCTTGGATGAGCCCAACCTGCCCTAATTTTATGTATGAGGGCTTGATATGGAAAACAATATGAAACATGGCTTTTCCACCTAAACTTCTAATAAAAAATTATCTTCTCAATCTAGGTAATTGAACAATTTTGGATTCTGGTCCAAACTGGCCTGCCAAAAGAGAAAAAAATCTTTGTCTAATTCCTTTAAGGAATCAAAGTATGGTGAAAAGATTTACTTTGCCTCTTTTTCTTCACAGGTTTTATCTAGAAAACTTTGTCCTTGACCAGTATGTCCGCTATAACATCACAGTCTACCCAGTGGTCATAACAGCTCTGACTGGCAGCGCATGCAAGAACTTCTTGTTTTCATTCCCAACAACAAATGGTGTTTTTATAGGTGAATCTTTTGGGCTGTTTCCAACTCTTGTAAAAGGAGGAGAGAAAACACTTCTACATCTTTCCTGTTTATTAAGGGCAGGAAAGTAGTATTTAGAGGGATTTATTAGAAGATATTAATCTTGCAAAGTAAAGAGTAGAGCAGAAATCACTGCCCGTGAGCCTTGGGGCTGACTTCAAACCTTGTGTTGCCTCAAGTTCGCTTCCCAGTGCAATATGTTTATCCTTCAATTCTCCATTATCCACTTGGGTCCTCTGTTTGTAGCTCCATTTGACAGAGGGTGGGCTGAAGGAAGAGGAGGGCTGGGATGAAGGCTGTGGACTTCCATTTATTCTAATATCATTTAGGATATAGGGTCAGTACATAAGCTTCTGACCCAAAGAGGGGATGTATTTAAATTTCACCATTCAAAACTCTGTGCGTGCTCCTCTCCTATGCAGAATTGGGCTAGCCTTCAGTTTTCCCAGGATTGTTTGGTTGCTGCATGCCACTGTAGCTGAGTGTAGTCATCCATTGTAAAAGGGCTCAAGCTGTCCAAATACTGTGTAATCAGTCTGGCAAAAGCTATGCCATTGAGTGGTGTTACGCTGGCATGAAACGGACTGAGCTGTGTGAGCTCTGGATCCTGCTGCAGCAGTTCGAGATGCCTGTTCCCACTGTAATGTCAGCAGAAGCTGCCATGGACCAGTGGCTAAAGCTAATGTCTGGACTGGCACCATTGCAGTCCCTTCAGTGTGTGTTCCCCTTGGCTGTAAGGGCAGCTGGAGCTTGGTAGTGCCCAAAAGAACCCAACAGGACTTGGCAGAGTCTGTCTGCCAAAGGCATGAGGGCACTGGAGACATCTCCTGATGGTTATGGCCACCAGGAATGTGAGGGTATGTGTGATCTGGCACACTGTGTTCCTGCAATGGCATCTTTAGTGGTTCAGCTTGTTTGGCTGGTAGGTCAGGAATGTGCTTTTCCCAAACTAGTGCATGTTTCTTTATATAGTTCAACTATTCCTGGAGTGTTTTCTTAATGTAATGCACTTTTATTTCTGTGTCCATAAAGCCCCCCCTTTAGACATTCCTTGACCTGGAAGCATTGGCTGTTTGACTGGATAGCAGTGAAACTCTGGGGGTTAGTGGCTCCTGTACAGGGGGTTTCTTGTTTTCCTCTTTCCCTGAATGCTTCCTGTACTAGGAGCTGTGATGTGACAAGAGGGACTGACTTTCTCATGCACTAACGTGCTTCTGTGTTTGTTTTCTAGTTGTTCTGTTGGCAATCACTTGCTTCATTTTTGCTGTTCGGCTGGGACTTGTTGCATGGAGACACTTTAGGAGACCATTGGAAGCATCAGAAAACCCAGACCCATAGGGCACAGTGGCCTGAGACCTCTGGCATGTTGTAGCACATACTTTAAATGGAGAAAAAAGGATCCGGCATCTGCTGGTCTGTCCTTCCAGTATCAATTGCCTTATGCTCTCTATTTCTGCCCTTCCAAATACAGATGCTTGTCTGCAAACCTCTCCTGCTTCTAAGTTCCCTCAGCTCAGCTGCTCACAGCCCCACTTTGAATCCATGCCCTTCTTCATTTGGTTTGACTCTGGATCAGTGCAGGAAAAGGCCCTTCAGCTGAATAGCCCTGTACAGGTTTGGGATAGAGCTGTGGCCCTACCTGTTGCACTATCAACAGGCACTATGCGGGCTTGCACAGGCACTTCTGTATGGTTTTTCCTTGGTCACTAATTTTCCTTAAGGCCAAGGTGAGCGGTGAGACTCCTGTCATGCCTCTGGCCATTCAGTGCTGGGTTTCTGCAAGCCCCTGTGGTGTGAGCAGGAATCCTGCAGGCAGCAACTGCTCCCTTTCCTGCTGCTTTTCCCACATCATAAAGATACTACAGCTCTGGAGATCTACCTGTGCTGTGTCAGCTCTGCTTGATACCCAAGGGGGAAGAGGAGGAGTGACTGAATATTTCTGACACAAATGCAAGCCTTCAACCTATTTTTATTTGTAGCTCTGGAAATTGAAGATGCGTTCACCTTTCAGCATCCACTGAAGCATCTGGGGCTCTGCCCTGTTTTTTCCCTTTCTCAAGTTAGTCACTGTGTCACCGCCTCTGTCTGTGACCCACAATAGCAGCAGCTTCGCTGTTCCTGCCCTAGCCTATAAGACAGGAGAGATCTGGGTCAGGCAGGAGCCGTGGGATGCCTTTCCCTGAGCTGTGCAGTGCAGTTTGCGCTGGGTGGATGCCTCCTGCTGGAGAACGGTTTGTAGCCATGCTGGCAGGAGGAGATGCGCAGATGAGGTGGTGCCTGCCCCGGGGTGAAGCTGCTGCTTCAAAGGGAAGCCTGTTTAAGGAAAAAAATCACTTGAACTGATAACGTGAGTTCGTCGTGGATTGGTGCTTTCTCATGCGGCTTCACCACAGGAAGCCTTAACGTGGGTTGACTGAGTTGTCAAACCGCTGCCTCCACTTCCTGTGCCTACTTGAGCCTCACTGCTATCTGGAAGTGTTTCTACATGGCAGATGCTTTCAGATGCTGAATTCATTGCAACACTATTACAAAGGTTAAATTGTCTAAAACACCATGTGCTAGCGTTTACATTTAACAAAACTAAATCGGTGTCATGCACTTCCTCTCATTTTGTCATGTTTTATTTTTGAGTAAATTGGCAAATTCCACCGCTCTTCCACTACATCTGTAAGCCACCTGCAGTAACTGTCCTGGCTGCTACCTCATTTGTGCTTGGGGTTCTGCACTGGCCCTGGTCTCTTGCTGGAGCTAGGTGCTTCCACTGATCATGCTTTCCTCAACCATTGAAGGTGAAGACTTGGGTGCTGAAGGGCCCTTCTACTTACATGCTCTTCTTCCCAAGAGCCCTGCTGGTAACTGCCCAGCAGCCTCTCCATAAGCTGCTGCCTTTAATACAGTGGTATTAAATCCGCTGGTGTGTGGATTAAGGGGTCCAGGCAAGGTGAATAGTTGGTGCGAGGCTGTGCAGCACAGGGAGCCCTGGAAGGTGTTTTGCATCCTCTCATGCAAGAGCTCCTGGACCAGGGTAGCTGCACTGCCTTTGCACAGACATTAAACAAAGCCTTCAGTGACTTTCTTTCTTTCAAATGACCAGAAGCTATAGCATAGGATGTAATCAATGCATTAATTACCCCAGGAGAGTCAATGGGGCTTCTTCAGAAGCAACTTATGTCTCACAAATCTCTTTGAGTTCTCTTAAGGACTCAAAAAGCATATTGGTAAGGGTGAACTGTTTTATATTGCCATTGGCTTCTAAAGATGTTCTAGAGCTATGACACAAAGGGCAATGTCCTCCTGTATCTGATTAAAGCTGGGAAACAGAGGGAGTGTTTCTCTCCAGGAAGAGAGGTTGCTGGTGGCCTGTGTCATTAGACCTGAGCTGGGTAATGTAGGCATTAAAACCCAAGGGATAATTTGATGATCGACAGTTATTTGGGATGCTAAAGAAGGATGACTGGGGAATTGCATAAAGCTCTACTGAAACTGAAAGTGAACAGCACAAATGGTGGAAGCTGTTGTACCAAAGAGTGCATAAAGGGAAAACCAGGCTGTGCTTCACCTTACAAATGAGCCACTCAGGCATGAAAGCTTGGAGCTATGGTAGCCATTCTCACCCAAGTGTTTCCACATCTGGCAGTAGTAGAGGCAGCCCATGTGTTGGGGATGGTTAGGAAAGGAGTAGGATTGAGAACACCCTTGTGCACCTCTAAAGCTACTAAAGATGTGCACCCACCTCTTGAGGGCTCTGTGCAGTTCTGGTCCTTGCACTTACAGGAAATTGTTAAGGGTTGAGGAAAGGTTTGGAGAAGAGCAATGGCATCGGGGAGTGAAGTGTCTTTGTTCCCATCTCTGCACCCCAGAGCTGGGAGCACCTTTCCTGAGGTCCCCTTGATGTGTATGGAACACAGCTGGGTGTTCTTTCTCCCACCCTCAGCACTCCAAAGCAAACTATGAGGAAAGCATCAAAGTGATGAGGTGCTGCAGCAGCACCCAGTTCATCTTTTGCAGACCTCCCTGTGAGAAAGCCCCTGGCAGCTGCCCTCAAATGATAAAGCTTAGCTAGCCCCAACCCCCATTTGGCCACCCACGAGTGAGCTCCTGGTCCCCAAAACCCTCTCCAGGCACTATATCCCTGGAGCAGGGGCTGGCAGAGGTTCCCATTGCTGTTTGAGCACACAGAGCTCTGGCCAGCTTTAGGAACAGTGCCTTTCCTTGCATCTGAGGCAGGAGCAGCAGCCTAAAAATACCCTGCCTGCCCATTTCGCTTATAGGTGGGGTGGGGAAGAAAACAGATATAGAGTAAGCATGGACCTTCTTCTTCCAGCCATAGGGCTAAAGAGAGCCTCAAGGCTATTTTAAAGGCTTTATTTTTCCCCCTGAAATGCCTTAATTTCTTCCTTTCCCTCCCCCTCCCCCCAAAACCCCAAACCCAACCAAACCCGCTGATGCATAGTTTTGCCCACAAGAGAGTTCTCTTTCAGCTAAGCTGCGTGTCATGAGGCTGGAAACCTGCCAACTTTTGAGCAAAAATAACCAGTCTAGCCTTTGTTTCCTTGAGTGATTATAGGATTTGGGTGAATTTTACTGGATTTAGCATTTCTTGGAAAGCTGGTGACCTTAGGAACCCAAACCCTGAAAAAATTGGGTTTGTTTCTGAAACGAAAAGGCATTTCAGGGCCCTGCTACATGCTCGTGTGTCTCATAGCCTGGGATGTGACCTAAGTACCCTGGGCCACTGCACCTCTCTGTGGGGCTGGCAAACGCAAGGTTCCTGGGATGCGAAGGGGTACCTTTGGGATGCCAAAAGCTGGGTTTAAACTTGTCATCCCCTGAAAGAATCTGCTTTGTGGCTAAACAGGGGGATAGGGAAAAGCAGGGTGATCTCTCTAAGCCAACATCAGTTGGACAACCCCAGGGCTGAGTCCAGGGATGCTCAGGGATGCCACCTTCCCCTGGGTGGGACCAGCTCCTGCCCAGGCTCCTTCCCACTCTTTGCCTGAAAGCCTCCATACGAGGGTGACCCCTGAGTTAGGAATATTTTCTCTGGAGGGCTGTATCAGCTGAGCCAGACATTACTGAAGCTGTGAGACAGTTGTTTTCAGTAAAAGTTCCTGGGAAAAATCTGGTTTGGAAGAATGTTGTGTGAAATAGGCTGTGGGTCAGGGGAAATATGCATTTGAACTGAGAGAACATGTGTTAATTCAAAAGGAATCTCTAAAAACGAAGTTTATAGAGCCCTGGATCAGGCTCTCATTAAAGCCTTTGCGATTTCCAGAGGGAAACATGCTCATTTCTTGGCTTAGGGCTCAGGCGGCTCCTCCTGAGCCCCCATAAGAGTGGAGGAGATGCTGGGATCAGGGCAGGCATCCCTTTGACACCTTCCACCAGCAGCAGCAACCTCTGGGTGGTGCTTTCCTAAGTCCTAGGGCACTGCATTCCCTTCATGGTGCTCTTGGCTATGGAGCTCAGCTGAGTGCAGGCAGGAGGCTTTCCTGCTGGGCTCCCATAAAATGGAGCATCCAGGCAGAGGAGATGTGTTACAACCTGATTTGTTCTTGTCTTGGTGCTACCCTTGGTACTAATTACTTTATATTAAAGCATCCGTGAAAAGCAATAACAAATAAATAAAACTGAGCCTAATGGAGAGATGTTGCACCATGATGCAAAGCACCAAAGCAGGATTGCCTTTCATCTGCCATTTGGAGCCATTTTGCAAACCTATTGCCTGGCAGCAGCCAGGAGAGGTGGGTGTAGCAAGACACGGGCAGCGATGCTGAGATATGAGCACAAGCGGCACCATCACCACCAGAAAACATGGATGAAACTCTCTTAATCAGGGACTGTAGTGATAGGACAAGGGGTAATAGGTTTAAACTAAAACAGGGGAGATTCAGGTTACATATAAGGAAAGTTCTTTACTGTGAGGGTGATGAGACACTGGCACAGGTTGCCCAAAGAAGTGGTAAATGCCTCATCCCTGGCCACATTCAAGGCCAGGTTGGACGGGGCTTGGAGCAACCTGGTCTAATGGAAGGTGTCCCTGCCTATGGCAGGGGGTTGGAATGGGATGATCTTAAGGTCTTTTCCAACCCAAACCGTTCTATGGTTCTATGAAACTCTTGCTGGTGCCTTGTCACTTCTTGTCAGAGGAGTGTTGGCCTTGGGGAGGAAACACAAAGTAGGCTGGCTCAAAATGAGGAGCCTCAAACACTCATCCCCTGGAGCTGGAGCAAATCCAGCCCTCCCTGGCTGCACCTCCATTTGCTTATCTGCAAAGCAGAGATGAACAGGACAAGCCTCTCTGTGGAGGACTATGAAGCTCTCTGGATAAAAGCACTGAATACATACGAGGATGATTAAAGGCATCAGTGCCCTTTGCTGTGCACGCAGTCTAAACACGCTCGGGCCATCCCAGGCTCTTTGCAAACTGTTAGATGCTTTCAAGCTAAATATTTATATGCATAGAGCCAGGACAGCCCTGTGTTGGGAGATCGGCTCTGCTCCCTCTGCCAAAGGCACCACAGCAAAGGGTTAGAGGCTCATGCATGGGCTGAGCACATGGGAAAAAATGCTGGAGCAGCCCAAGAGCCTGACCTTGTACCAGCCAGAGCATGCATCAGCCGTGTGACAGCGCAATGGGCATTCCCTGCTGGAAACTGTGAGTAAAACCCCTGCACAGCCCCACAAGGATGCTGTGCTTCCTCCATCCACTTTGGGAAGAAAGGGCCTTGAAGACTTTTGTCCAGCCAGCTGGTAAAATGTGGTGTTTAACCAAGACGGGATGTTGCCTGCACAGGATAGGACTGATGAGGGTTAGGGAGCACTGGAAGCTTCCAACTTGGTTTGTCTTGATGTTGTTCTAATAAAAACTTGAGCTCAAAAGGAAAATGGGCGTTACTGGAAAGAATTTGTCTGCAGTGACCCATGGCACAATTATTTTCATCCAAGAGAGGAAAAAAGTGTGTGTGTGCTCATGCCTGTGGCTGCTCTTGCTTTCCCTGCCCACAACACAGATTTTGCCATGTTTTTGCAGGAACAGAATGAAGGAATAATTTGCTGTGAGATGGCCCCAGGCCTGGGAGAGGAGCATAAGAATTGAGCAGAGATGTCCAAGAGCTGTTCCAGACTGGCATGGGAGCCAAAGCCTGGGCTTCCTCACCCCACCTTAAGCCCATTAAAAGTAGATGGAGAAAAAGTCTGCATGTTATCACTGCTTTGGGCCATGGTCCCTGACAAAAATGCAGCCTCCTGGGAGACCCACTGCATGCCCCCTTGTCCAGGGGGCACCTTGTGCCCTGCAAATGTGTTTCTGCCCCATCCTACTGCTCTTGACATGAGAAAGGTTTTACTAAGCACGGCAATGGGCTTGGATATGAAAAGTCCCAATGGACAAAAGCTCATCCCAGATGCATTTAAAGACTAGTAATTACTACTAAAAGGTACCTGCTGCATGCCTGATAACAGTACCAGAGGCAAAGAAGTGGTCCATTTCCAGCACACCCTTGTGCTTTTTATCCTTGTGAACTGGGAGTGCTGGAAGAGAGCAGTGTGATGGGGTTTGTGCCTGTCTCCTGGTAGAGTCAGGAGATGCTCACCACCATGGTCA